AGTGAGGAGGCCTCAGAAATCTCTGGGCATTTGGGTAGTAAACTAGTGTTCACCATGGCATACAAATGAAATTTGGGAACCCACTCCACATGAAGGGATGCTCTCTCAGCCTGGACATATGGGGAAGGGCCTAGGTCCTGCCCTGGATGAAATGACAGACTCTGGAGATCCCCCCATGGAGGGCCTTACCCTCCCTGGGGAATGATTTGGTGATTGGGCTGAGGGTGGGGTGTGGGGGTGGGGATGGTGGAGGGAGAAGTTGGAAGACATTTGAAGCATGCATGTTTCTAAATTAAATAAAAAACATACAAAAAATCCCTTCCCCAATAATGAGATTGAGGACTACCTTATATGCCAGCTTAGAGCATTCATCGAGTGGCTGGTGGAAGCAGAGGCAGACAGACACCCAATGCTAAACATTGAACTAAATTTCAGGAACCCATTGGCAGAGAGGGAGGACTTATGAGCAAAGGGGTCAAGATGCAGCAGGTGAAACCCACAGTAACAGCTGACCTGAACAATGGGGAGCTCATGGACCCCAGACTGATGGCTGAAAGGCCAGCTTGAGACTTATTCAGATTCACAATGATCCCTTATACATTACAGGTCAATCTATCAAGAAGTGGCATAATGCACAATGGATTTAACACTGCCATATCAATAATTAATCCAGAAAATGTTCACTGACTGGCCCACAGCCAATCATATTGAGAAACATTTAGTTAAGTTTCAGTTTTACCAAGTGACTGGTTTTTCTCAAGTTGATAGAAACTAATAACAAACACTGTATGCCTCTCCATGTAAAGCATATATGTAATATGAGTCTTCTTTGATCCAGCTAGGTTCTACTGCCCTTCTCTGTGCTTCAGTGCCCCAAAGAAACAATCAGACACTATATTTGTTATTAAGCTGTTGACCATTTACTAAGGTTTCTTATTACTAGCACTGTATTAATTAACCCATTTCTAACAATCTAAATATTTCCACAAGGTCTTCTTTTACCTGAGAAAGGTCCAGACCTCTTATTCCATTGGGGTCTACATTGTGTCTGCTCAGTGTCTCCACAGAGAAGAGGAGAGGAGTGAGTAATTTCCTGCTTGCCCCTGCTTATTTACTGATTCTGCCTTGTTACCATCACTTCCTATCTGCATCACGTGGCAACTTCTCCTTACTACATTACCCAGAATTCTCCTCAACTCATAGTCCCACCCATCTTATTTCCCTATTTTCCAACAGTGCTTTATTCATCAACCAATAAGACAAACATATACACAGAAGAAGATTCCCCATCATTTCCTCTTATCTGTCTAAATAAAAAGAAGGGTTTTTAACATTAACATAGTAAAATATATAACAAAACAGTTATCAAGTAAGAACTATAGTTACCATTTTTAGTTCATTAACATTTGGCACAATATACAGACTGTATTTTGTTATCTATCCTATCTTTGTGTGTCTAAAGACTTATATGTAACTTATCTTCAATCTTTTTTTTGGTTTTTCAAGACAGGGTTTCTCTGTATTGGTTTTGAGGCTGTCGGTCCAGCCTGGCCTCGAACTCACATAGATCCGCCTGCCTCTGCCTCCCGAGTGCTGGGATTAAAGGCGTGCACCACCACCACCCGGCTTATCTTCAATCTTAACTAATGTAAACTATAACTATCTGTCTTCAACTCCATCAAAGACCACAGGAAGGATTGTATATAAACTCTAGAGCAGACAGAGACATCACACTGCTCCTCTGCAACATTGGGATATCCATGTTCAGCCTGTAGGCCACAGTGTGTCTGGAAGACTTCTTAGCAAAGCACGAAATTTTAAACTGTCTGCCTGCATTGGCAGTTTGTCAGTCATTTTTCTGTGTTCTGCAGAATATCTGGCAGACTGATGAAGCAGGAACCCTTCAGGACTGTCCATCTTGTTTTTCAAGTTCATCAGTCACTTTCCTGTGGGTTCTGCATGTCAGGTTTATATAGCAACAGTCAAACAGTCCAGGCAAGAGCAGTTTCTTGCCCAAATGGCTATTTTTGCCATATTGAATGTAAACTCCATAATGAGTTTTCTCAATGCTTATCATCTTCTCTGAGGCAATTGGTGTTCCAGGACCAGTGGTGTATATCATTAAACACTCTAAACTATTTTAAATGCCAAATTCTGAAGGTCTTTGAAAAGTTTGAAGAATATTTATCCATTTGAAATATCTCCTTATATCTAGAAACTCTAACATATAAGTTTGACTATTATAGGTGACTATCATCTATTTTAATTACACATTACATTTTTAACGAGCTATATAAACATAATAGCTAAACAAGAGGAGAAACATACATATAACAAAATTGACATTACATTTGTATCAACAAATGAAAATCCATACTAATACAAAGTATTCATTTCTATAACCGATTCCCCTTTTTTTCCTTTAAAAAGAGATTGACTGTGATCATTACCATTTCTAACCAACCCCATTTAAATGAAAAGAAACATAAAAGATATTTTGGAATGTGGGCACCATTTTCTCCAAACTTCTTCCTGCTGTTCGGCGTGCTGTCATGAGGATCCTAACAAAACCCAGAAATCCTGGCTGTAGTGGTCTGCAAGATGGAATGTGTATGTTTACTGTCAGCACTGAGATCTGAGCTCACCGACTTGGTCTATGCTTCTATGAAGCAAAATGCTACTGACTTTAAGATGTAGTCACTGCCACTGCCAGCTGCTCATACACCATTCAATTGTTAGCAGGGACTCTTAAAAGAGCCTTGCAGTTTTTCTGCTGCTTATGCTGAGTCTGGAAGCATTAAGCTCCACTAAAGGAGCCATGTCTCTAACAAACAGAGCCCACCTGAGAAAATGCTGCTACCAAGAAGCCATGCTAGACTTTGTTCTTTTGTTTTCAAAATTCCTTTTTAAGCTTTTGTCTGGTTTTAAGTGGAAATGTGTGCCCCAAGTCTGGGTGCCATTTTATAATGTGAATGATTCTCTGGCCTGGCTAGGGTCTGCTTTCCTTCTCTGCCCCAGTTAAACACATGGATGCTTTATTAGTATAAAACTCTTGTCCTTTTGGCTAAGGTTTCTTATTTGCTAGCTCAGTCTTAATTATTAACCCATAACTGCTAATCTATGTATTTCCTTGTGTCCTTATCTTACTGGATTAAAGGTCTAGGCCTCGTACTCTCTTGGAGTCTACATTGACTTGTCTGCTCAATGTCTCCACAGAGAAGAGGAGAGGAGTGATTTCCTGCTTTTCCCTTCTTATATACTGATTTTACCTTGCTATATCTCTTCCTGCCTGGATCATATGGAGACTTCTCTTTACTACATTTTCCAGAATTCTCCTCAGATCCTAGTTGCACCTTCTTGCTTCCCTATTAGCCATCAGTGCTTTATTCATCAGCCAATTAGACAAACATATACACAGAAGAACATTCCCCATCATATATACATGCATCTAACATAGGAATCAGTTTCTATGCCTAGACCAGTTGTCTTCAGAGAGTCTTTCTGTGGCAGCTGGAAGAGGGGTAGGAAGAATCATAGGAGACACAAGGGTTAAAAGCACCAACAGAATATAGGCCACAGAATCAAGTAAGCAGGTCTCATAGGAGCTCCCAGAGACTGAAGTGGCAGTCAGGTATCTTATATGTGTCTGTACTTGGTCCTCTCCATATGTTATGGGTGTTAGCTTGGTTTCTTTGTGGGACACCTTACAGTTGGTATAGGGATGTCTCTGACACATTTGCCTGCAAGTATTTTCCTTCTATTATGTTGTCTTACCCAGCCCTGTTATGACGGTTTATGCCTAGTCTAATTGTATCATGTCAAACTGTGTTCCCTTGATATTTCTAGGTTACCTTATCTTTTCTAAAGGTAAATGGAGGGGGAGTGGATCTGAGAGAGATGGGAGTTGAGGGGAAATGAGGTAAGTGGAGGAATGAATAACTGTGGTCAGCATTCATTATATGAGAAAATAATAAAAAAATAATATTACATACTAAATATGAAAATCAATTCTTCCAAAGCCAATTCTCATATGCAATTTCCTTTCTTTGCTTAAAAATCAACACTAAGATTCATAATAGAAATGTTATTCATAATTTTGAATGCAATGTCAATAGTTTATGTAATCAGAAGCAATGACAATAACAGAATGGAACATTGTCATGGGGATTGCTTAGAAAAGATAGATAGATGAATTCTTCCCTTCAGTATTCATTGGCATTAAGGATTTGTACAATTGGGATTACAGTGACATTGCAATAATGAGTACAATTAAAAATCTTGCATATTTGAGTCACAGGGACACAAAAACTCTAGAAATATGCCTGTGATTTCTTTAGTTTTATTATACCAGCCATGAATCAACACACTAGTCATTTCCTACAAACTGTGGTTTTTAATGAAGACTCAGTTGACCCTTTGAATTTTTATGACTATCACAAGGGAACATCTTTAATCAAAATCCAGGTGAGATGTTTATAATGTGTTCCTTTGAACCGAATCTGACTACTAACCTTCCTTTGTATATCTATGGGATATTAACTGATCTTTATCAGAAAAATATCACCTTAGCAAATAATTAGGTGTCTACACCATATGGAAAGACTACTATAAAATTTGTCACCAATATGTTTTCCCAACCTGACACATGCTTATGTACTTATGAGCTAATGCTTATCAACCTTCACTTTCCTGCTCTGGTAATCTATGCAAGAACAGCACCAATTTCCTGCTGAAAAAGATCCATGTTTCTGTTAGAACATGATGCTTGACACTGACATTTGAAAAATTTGCTTTAATTATCATTCATAAGTAGAGGAGGGGAGTTCATTCAAAGATTATTTGCTAGCAATTTTGTAAGCAAATGTCAGAGAATAGGTTGATTAACAGAAGAAATTTATTTGCTAAAGGATTTGAAATATGGAATTCAAAGAACAAGGTTATGAAGTTGATGATCCAAACATCTTATCTTTACAATTCCCTTTTATCTCAGATTACTCAAGAACATGGAAGCTGTCAACCAAACAACTACCTCAGAATTCATTCTTCTGGGGCTTAGTGAAGATCAAGCTCTGCAGCCTTTCATCTTCTGCCTCTTCCTGTCCATATACCTGATCACCATCCTAGGAAACTTACTCATCATCCTGGCTGTTACCACAGACTCTCAACTACACACACCCATGTACTTCTTTCTCTCTAATCTGTCCTTTAATGACATTTGTTTAATTACAACCACAATCCCAAAGATGTTGGTTAACATTCAAACTCTAGATCAAACTATCACATACATGGGATGTCTCTCTCAGGTCTTCCTTATCTTGAATTTTGCTGGCATAGAAAATTGTCTCCTTGCAGTGATGGCCTATGACCGCTATGTTGCTATATGTCACCCTCTGAAGTACACAGTTATCATGGAAGCTCATTTCTGTGTAATATTGCTTTTCTTCTCTCTGCTGTGTAGCATTATACATGCTTTATTCCACACTCTGATGGTGTTACTGCTGTCCTTCTGTACAGAAACTGAAATCCCCCATTTCTTCTGTGAGCTGGCTCAGGTCATCAAACTTGCCTGTTCTGATAATTTCATCAATTTTCTCCTGGTATACACTGTGTCTGTTCTATTTTTTGGTATTCCTGTGTTTGGAATTCTTTTGTCTTATATTCATATTGTATCCTCAGTTTTAAAAATGTCATCCTTGGGAGGCAAGTATAAAGCCTTTTCAACCTGTGGGTCTCATTTGTCAGTTGTGCTCCTGTTTTATGGCACAGGTTTTGGAGTACACATTAGCTCTGCTTTTACTGACTCTCCAAGGAAGACTGTAGTGGCTTCAGTGATGTACACTGTGGTTACTCAGATGCTGAACCCCTTTATCTACAGCTTGAGAAACAAAGAAATGAAGAAAGCCTTCAGGAAAATCATTAATAAGATAACATCTCTTTTATAATATGTCATCATTATATCAAAGATTTTAGAGGAATGCAAGCTTAACTCTGTTACTCAAGATATTTTATCTCTGTCATTTAAATGTTATATAACAAGTAAGAGAAGTAATAATGATGTACATTTTAACTTGATTTTAAACCAGACATCCCTACATGCCTAACTCAGTGATTTAATATAGTTTTTCTGAAAAAAATGTTAGGTTCTTAAAAATGAAATGTTTAAAATGTTCTAATTTTATCAAAAAATCGTGCAAAGTCTCATCAGTAGATATGAGTTAGACTTTCTCTTTCCTCAAAATCATAGTAACATATTGAAAACGATTTATATCTGATTTCATAGTAAGATAAATGTGTATTGACTAATAGAATTATCTTTATATTGTCATAAAGAAATTACTTTTCCTACACCAAGAAGTGGTTAGAATTTGCTCTTTAATTTTTATTTATCTTTTAAAATTAAAATACAATTAAATAACTAAATTTAATTAATTTGGTCCACAAATACATATATATATATATATATATATATATATATATATATATATATATGCTGCTTACCTCTATACCATTGAATGTATATAAGTCATTCATGGACTAATTTATATTTATATTATTTGGAAATAAGTTGCCATCTCACTACTCCGGAATAAATGATTAATCATTCTTTCTGCATACCTTAGTGGCCAGTAATCATTTCTCTAGGCTTCAGGACTTCTGAGACTACCCCCATTCCGTGTTAGTATTTCTGTTGATATCATCCTTTCTTAGGTAATGTTTAAGCAACCCATGTTGGTGTCATGTTTAAGCAAGCCATCATGGGTGTTGTCACATCTCTCACATTTTAGGTGATAAAGTTTCATAGAAATTTCAATGTCTCTCTGGTTTTAGTAATTTCCTGCCTTCTCTTCCACAATTATTCCTGAGCCTTTGGTGTAGGTCTTGTTTTGTAGATGTATCAAGAGGGGCCTGCCACTATATATTCACTTTTCTGCATTTTGAAGAGTCCATTTTTATTTCTCCATTTGTTGCAAGAAGAATTTGCTTTGATGAAGGTGTGAGCATTAATTAAACTCTTACCATGAGAATAAGTATACATATTGGAAACTCAATTAGAAGTTTATTCTTAGGTAAATTGGTAGTTGTTGGGTCTCTAAGGTCAGTAGAATTGGGTAGTTGGCTAATTTTCCAGTAAGAGGAGTGATTTTTTCTGTGTTCAGTAGACCAATAATTAATATTTTTTTCTCAAGCAACCATCATGTATGTCATATTTGAGTCATTATGCTAAGGTGATGTTAATTAGAAAGAAATGGCTCAAAATACATTTGTAACACATTTGTCCCTTGCAAGTGGTTTCATTTGTAATGATAAGAAATCTAAATTTAGGGGGCTGGAGAGATGTCTCAGAGGTTAAGAACAGTGGTTATTCTTCCAGAGGACCTGAGTTCAATTCCCAGCAACCACATGGTAGCTCACAACCTTCTGTAATGAGATCTGGCTCCCTCTTCTGGCTTCCGGGCATACTGACAGATACTGTATACTAAATAAATAAATCTAAAAATGTAAACACAACAACAACAACAAAAAAGAAATCTAAATTTAATACAATGAAGCAAATAGGAGAGTTGTCTTACATTTTACATTAAGAGAAAATGAGCATACTAAACAAATTTCTTGTACTTATTCAATTTCATTTAATACACTTAATTCAATTCAATAATTGACTCTCCTTCAGACTATTATTGCTATTTAATGTCTCTATTCACCAGACATATAAACTTGTCTAGATAGGACTACATGTTCGGCGCTAAAATTGGTTTGAATTGTTATCTGATTTGAAAAATAGATGAATGATATTTGCTTGGACTAAAGCATCTCCCACGGGTGAATCTTTTCCCAGATTAACTGTGTCAGAGTTGATGGGTAAGTTTGGGGCAAGACTCTTAAGTCCCCTCTGTGCAGTAAATGTGTGTGTTCCAGGGAGCTACTGAGGTTGCAGAGTATGAGTGGGATTTGGGGCAGAATGAAATTTGTAGGTTACAGGACTTTTGGTGTAGCTTGCCTGAAGTAGTCTTTCCTACTGACCTGCTAGTGTGACTGAGATGGGTGGGGGAAGGGCCATGTGTTTTACCTTGGAGTTTCTGTGATTCAGATGGAAAGCTAGTTATTGACATCTCAGTCTTCTCTATGCAGTAGATGTCTGTGTCCTACAGATACTGTTTCTTAAACAAGAGAGTAACACAATGTTTTATGGAATCTCCACAACACTAGTGGCTCATTATCTGAAACTTCGAATTTCAGCAGAGATTTTTCTCCAGTTTCAAATCCATGAAGATCAAGTGTGCAGAAATTATAGTCTCAAAATGACAGGGAGCATGAACCAGCAATATAATGAGCCTTGCATACTTCTGGTCATTGCTATTCCTCACCAGTTTTTCACAGTCTTTATACACAATACATGCCAATTTTATAAATTATAACCTTCCTCTTATTTTACTAGAAAAATATTTTACATTTATAAAATTATTAGTAACCTTAAACTAATATAAAATGCAAAATTACATTCTATATATATTGGTACACTTAATACAATTATAATTATGTGTTTTATGAAAAGATCGGTTTTCAGAGTATTTGTTATTAAATCACAATGAATTTTTCCTGTGTTGTAATTCCCATGGAATATAAAACACTTATATTTTATCATAGCTAAGTGCAGAAAATTATTACAGAAATTTTCATACACTTGTATTTTATTTTTCTATTCTCTATGTAGGAGATTTTCTTTTCTGAACTTGTTAACAGAAAGACTATAACTATCTAGTCTTCAACTCCTTCAGAGACCTGAGAAGGAAATATTAACTGAGGAAGCAGGAAGTTGAAATAAGTGACTTTTTAAAAAAATGTGAGAAATAAATGAAACAGCTGGTAGCCTGGACAGTCAACCAAGTCTCCTTTATAACATTGGCACATCCAAATTCAGTCTACAAGCACAAAATATCTCACAGACTTCTCTGTGAAGCACAATATTGTCTTTACAAAGGTCATCAGTCATTCCCCTTCTATCCGGCTTTGTGCAATTTAAACATCATACCTCCAGCAGGTGAGGCAAGGGAAACTTCTTACCCAGTGTCTAAATTTATCGCAAAGAAAGTAAACTACATATGGAATTTCTTTAATGCCCATCCCCTATCAAGGGAGACTATTGCAGCCCAGATAGAGGAAAGAGGACCTAGTGCCCCAAACAAAGGATGTGACATATTTTGATGATCCCCTGTGGAAGATATCACTATCCTTGTGGAATGGGTGTGGGTGAATTGGGGGGTCAGTGGGGAACTTAGTTAAAAGGGAGTGAAAGAGAACTGGAACTGAGATTGATACATAAAATAAGAAGAGGCTTCAGCAATCTTGGAGAGTAGAGCAGTATTTATTCCTGGCATACAAATGGATTGGGGGTTTGGGGAGGAGGGGAGGGAGAGGGAACTGAGAGTGACATGTGTAAAAAGTTCAATAAAGAAGAAGAAAATAACTAAACATGACTTAAGGCATACTGATGAAGCTCCCACAGGTAAAAAAATACATAAATGTATTAGAGCACAAAAATTAGTGGAGATAGAATTTCAATGAAAGCAATTTTAATTATAGAATGTAATAAAAAACACACGCTTACAAAAAAGAAATAATAAAAAATTTAAAGTAAAAAAGAAAGCTTTTAAGAGTCAAAAACAAAAGATTATGAAATTAATGGCAATAGAATAGTATCCGATTTTTGGATCAAGCAGCCAGGAGCCTGCTGACAGTGCTGGTCTACTCCTACCACCACTCAGGGCAGAGAAGAGGGAGTGACTAATACACACCTGAACCCACTGTGAGACCCATCAGATCATTGGACCTGTGTGCACCCACCAGAAGAGTACGTTGAACCCACTCCTACCAGGAAAGGAAGAGACCCACACCTGTACCCACTGGAAGAAGGGATAGGAAGATGAAAATATAAGAAAACATTCAACAACAGAAAAATCAACATGACACCACCAGAGTCTAGGGACTCTACACCAGCAAGACCTGATCATCCCAAGACAGATGAAGCAGAAGAGAATACCCTTAAAAACAACTTAATGAAGATGATAAAGACCCTAAAATAGGAAATGAGAAAATCCTTCAAAGAAATGGAAGAAAAGATAACCCAAAACTTGCAGGAAACAATTCAAACTGTGCAAGGTTTGACAGCAGAAATAGAGACAATAAAAAATTTCTGACAGAATGCTGTAATTCAAAAAGGTGAATAAATGATCAGGAACTACAGTTGAAAGCATAACTAACAGAATACAAGAGTTGGAAGAGAGAATCTCACGCATTGAAGATTCATTGAACAAAGAAAATAATATGTCCAACAAATCCCTAACACAAAATATTCAGAAAATATGGGACACCATGAAAAGGCCAAATCCAAGAACAATAGGGATAGAAGAATGGGAAGAAATCCAACTCAAAGGTGCAGAAAACATATTCAACAAAATCTTGGCAATAGATAATACCACTTTATGAAAAGACAAAAGAAAAAGCAGGGTAGATTCACAAACAATAACACCACCAGCAACAAATAAAAAAAACAAGAATTTATACTCAAAGGTCCTTAATCTCCCTCAATATTAATGGTCTTAATTTGCCTATAAAAGACACAAGCTAACAGAATGGATACAAAGACAGAATCCATTCTTTTGCTGCATACAAGAAACACACATCAACTTCAAAGACAGATATTACCTTGGAGTAAATGCTTGGAATAAATTTTCCAATCAAATGAACATAAGAAACAAGCTCGTGTAGCTATCCTAAAATTGAATAAATTAGATTTCAAACAAAAATCAAAACATGAAATGAAGAAGGTCATTTCATATAAATCACAGGAAAAATCCATGAAGAAAATGTCTCAATTCTGAACATCTATGTCCCAAGTGAAAGGCAACCACATTCATAAAAGAAGAATTACTAAAACTAAAAT